ACAATAATAACGTGCCCTAAGCGTGAACCTGAAACTTTTGCTCTTTTTAATTAAAGTTTTATACCACAAAAACGTTTTGCTACAGATTCTGACAGACGAACGATTGTAACATTGATTTGAAACATAACCAAATAGTTAAATATTTGGTTATAAAAACGTTTACTGATAGCTATCAAACATTATTAGTGCTAAAATATTAAAGCGGGGGAATATAGGAAAGCCCGTCGTTTGAAAGAAACAAAAGAGCAGACAGTAATTTTGTAACACCCGACTTCGATCTGTAAAACTAGCGGAGTGTACTTATTATTTTATAAGAGATAAAAATGGCTTATGATTTATTAACATAAAGTGATGCTATTTATAATAGTGTGTCACGTGTTTACGTAGCATGATAGATCCAATATAAGGCTTTAAGATGACAACGAAATGCTTTTAATTTAGACATCTTACCCGTCTTTTGAAACGTAAAGCAATGAATGCTTATCGGTTTTTTTCTTACCATTCTGTGCCTATACAATGATCGTGGAATAGACATAACACAGCTATTTCTGATAGTAAAGTAAGGATAGTATTTAACATAGCTCTCGGCTACTATTAAAAGAAGAACACGAAAAAGAAAAACAGAATAATTCGACTTTTGCACCTACATACAAAAAGTCGCTTTCCGACAGGTACACGATTGAATCCAAAATGCATATTGAAAGGTGGTGATGGACGTCAAATTTCTTTATCTCTCACCCTTTTTATTGTTCGACATCAAACACAAAGAAAGCATAAATAACTAAATTAAATAACGTGCATGTTAGTATCAAAAGCGAATGTAACTACAAGGTAAACCAATCATCTTGTAACAGATAACCAATTATTTTTGTTAGATCCAGAAAACCATGGCCATTTAAATAGTCAATGTTTGAGAATGTCAAACATTCAATTGCCATCCGAAGAAGGCGAGCTCTTTTTTTATCTTAAAAATGTATATATATTAAGATGTACATAATCAAAACAATCTACGGCCTCGCCAATTGAGGAGAGACCAATGGCTGTGCCAAGAAAAAGAATGACCAAAGAAAACCATGAGGGTAGCTCTTCTGCCAAGAAAAGCAAATCGTATGCCTCAAACCCATACATTAATGACGAGGCCTCGTGTCAAAATGACACTGAAGAATCCAATACAATCAGTGTCGTCGAACCAGTAGAGGTTCCTACCACCCCTTCCAAGGAGGCGGATGCTATTATTACCCCAACTGTCGCAATTCGACAAAACATGTCGATTCTAAGCGCTCCACTCCGACTCAAGGCAATCAGAGTTTTAAAAATGCCAACTATGACAGTAACCACCGAGCAAAAAGACATTGATAACTTTCTGAAAGATGTCTTCTTTTATTTCAATGCTGGTAAGACTTACGATGTGTTGGGAAAGTGCATCCAATACGTCGGATGTTATCACTTTTTTTGTTTCTTGGCATAATCGAAATTACAAGGCCAAGGAACACATAAAAAACACATGCAAGCAATCAAAGGTAAAACATACATGGCCCATTGCATACTTTAAAGTTTTAACCTTCTTTCAATAGACGGTCAATCCAGTAAATACAAGACCAGACTTTTAAAAGCTGCCGGTAAAAGACTCAATGTGTTACTTAAGGACTTTAAGTACGGCGCTCTTGCCATTGTAAGTCCTAACTCCGTTGCAGCCTTTGAGCGATGGAGCTGGGAAAAATTCCCAAACATTCATTAGTGTGATTAAGCAGGATAAAGCCTTAACAAAGGAATTACAAGATTTTCAGCTTCACTCCTCTTTCTTAGACAAAACTGGACAATTAAATTACGTATATTATAAAGACAGCGGCTAAATTCGTTCCGATCATATTCAAAATAATAAAGAAGTTCATTTTTGCTACTTGGCTTTAATTCAAGGTCGTAGTGTTTCATTGATCCTAATTGTGACACAATAAAATATCTGTCATTAACCACGTGGTCAATACCTTAATGCATACGCGCATACATACACCCCCGCATAGATCTGCATGTATATGCAGATCATATTTGACAGCTCATGTGAACAAACCATCACATACCACCATGAGACCGATCACGAGTCATCACCATGGGACCACGCCTCAAGACCAAACCAACATCCGCCACCACCCTCGTCCCATGATCCCGCCACAGTACCTCGCCTCAAGACCTTCCCCAAGGCCTTAACTCCAGACCCTTCACGTTAAGAAGATAGTCCTTAAGACTATCTTCCTTTTATTATAAATACCTTAGATTATTTAGACAAGTACAGATCTTTATCTGATATCTTGTATAACTTATTATTATTATATAAACTTAGCTTTACTACCTTTTCTTGTCTGTCTTCCCGCAAAACTTATAGTCCTACCTAGTACCTAGCCTTGCCTTGTAAGTATAAAGAGACCTGTCCTCGTACCTAGTAACATCCGGCTAATTCCTGACAATATCAATACGAAAGACTTTTTTTTCATCCTCTCTTATCATTAACAAGAGCCACGGCTCTTTGCAAGGTAATTGACAAGATAATGGTAGTAATGTAGTGTGAAAGACTGAGGCGGTGCGTCGGTCCATGAGAGTGCCAGGTCCTATGAGAAGGAACCAGTACGAGATTCTTCTTTCATGTATAGCAACACCAGACAAATGTGGGAACGATACATGCAAGAACGATATTCTACTTAAAACAACGAGCTCTTTTTAATGGTTCTATTCTTGTTCCAAAAAACGATGATCCCATTGACTTATTTATCTTTTAGTACCCTACATTACGCGCACTACACTATTCTTCCCTCTGAAGGCCAAGCCTTGACACACATAGCACCCTGAATGAAAGTCGGAACTACATAAAGTTATAACGAATGCCTTCGAGGCTTTCTAGTGTTATATTTCTAGGGAAAACTTGTTTATTCGGTTTCATAGTTTTTATGAGTCTGAAGTTAGATGAATATAGTCTAATTTTAGACTCATTTTTTAGATATACGGTTACCATATGTAAGAATCCGGTTCAAAAGATAATAGACACTAATTTTTGAGAGCATCGACGGTTTTTTCTATATAAGATTATAGGAATTAATAAACAAGTTCTAGTTCATGAGCGTTAAATTAGCCGCATGGTAAACATTGGCGCGATTGATGAGATTCGATCTCCCTGTATTAGGAGCGAAATATCAGCTTGATACCGGAGTATTTGAGTGGATGACCCTATTTTGAGGATATTTATCAAATTGCGTAAAATAGTTTGCTTGTTTTGATTTCTCATTAATATACAATTGGCGAATGTCAAGAGCTGAAAGGCCTACAGGACAGACAGAATAATACTTGCTGCCAAAAACAGAGTTGTCCACCGAATGAAATTTAACATTTTTACTAAAATATAGCTAAAACTAGTACAGAAATGATATAATCAGTTTTGACCACATGACTAATACGTTCATGTTATAAATTTCTAAGAATCAAGTGATGCAGTGTATAAAATATATTATAAGTAGGAGTCACTTGAAATTAACTTGCTACTTCCATTTTTTTTGGATGGAAAATGGGAAAACGTGCTTAAATACAAGCGAGTACGGAGGAAGTTAATAAAAATATCACCAATTGGTATGGTAGTGTTGCAGCCAATCTAAATTGACTTGGTGTTACACAGGATAGGATATTTTCTATAAATACGTCCCTTTTTTTTCTAATAAATATTACTTCAGTTTTATCTTAACTAAAAATCTAGTTCTTAATAATTTGTAATTGACTCCTTTGTGTTTCCCTCAACGTTTCTACTTCTTGTTTATCTTAAGTTTATACTTACATATAACAATTAACTTAAAGTTCATATTTTCACACTCGACTCGAATCTCCTTATTACTACAACTGTACATAAGATATTGTTTATAAAAACATAATTACTTTTCTTTTTAATCTTGGCAATTCGTTTATATTTATATTACTTACGCCCTCTTAAAATCATCGTTGATTATCTTCTTATCCTAAAAACTTTATATTATAAGATTTCTTAAGTTGACTACTTCCAGTCTGGTGCTCACTTTCATAACTACTTTATTATTAACCGCAGTGTTAATAACCTATATCCACCTTATCCTTTAAGAACTATTACCAGTGTCTTAACAGTAGGTAATTTTATGCCAACAACCAGTACTGATAAATAATTGGAATAGTTTTAGCATGATAAAGGAAATCTCTTCACTGCATATCGGGCAAACAGCAACGGAATTGACACCATATTTACCTTGACAATTTTTTAAATACATAATAAACCCGACAATATAACCAAAAAATATTTTTTCCGGCACTTGTAAAGGACTGACGCAATTTAGACAGTTTCAGAAAAAACTTGTACGTTCATGGAGCAAGTATGAGAACAAAATAACATGTAACCGTCACCAGCCAAAAGATACATTAATAAAAGTAAAATTTACTTAAAGGGCAAAAATATTTTTCAGAAGTCGAAAAACATTTTTAAAGAGGTAGGAATAGTTTTAATAAAATGCCAATAGCCTGGGCTGTCTAATTACATTGTTAAAAAAGTCTCTACCATAAGGGAGGTAAGACACGACACAGTCAGACATAGAAGCCCAAAAATACTTTGGTCAACTACGCTAAACGTTTGACGGACACAGTAATAAGCATCTTTATAATAGTGCTGGCTTTAAATAGAGTATCTATCTACCAAACATTACGGACAGAAAACAATTATTGATCAGAAAACCAGAGAAATTAGCAAAAATGTCGATGTTACAGAATACCTATTATTTATACGATATGCTTAAACAAGTAGTACTTGTAACAGCTTCATAATTGACTAGCTCGTGTTGAAACAAAATATGAACACCAAACAGTCATTGTTTTTGAAGTAAGTCTAAAATTGTTATATTAATAATTAAAAATCGCGTACAAATATTTGATTAACGATATGAAGTAATAGCGGAATATCTGTGACGGTGGTAGTACTTGGTAGGGCAGCTTTAATTAAAATGTAGAAATGAATCAGCAAATGACACAAAGTGAGCAATGAATTTACTAAAAACACGAACAGTCAGTAGTTGATGGAATTATTGTGTTTTGAGGTAAGTAAAATTATAAGGCAGTATATAAGTAATTTGAGACTGTTTATTCGATTGTCTTTATTATGAAATAAAATGAACAAGTATTTATATAAAAAGACTATCTGCTGTACCACCATTTTTAGTGTATCTTTGAAGTTGTTATCATTTTCCCAGTGTGTATCCTGTTACCTTTAACTGCTTATTTTGTAAATAGAGGAACAGTCTGCTCCACTACCACGTATCAAGCATGTTACAACCTCAGAACATCATGATACCATACACACAGTCCAGAAGGTTGCACAAGCTTAACTTCACACGTCAGACTCCCTCACTGACCGTTTTTGTTATTATTAATACAATTAAGAAATTAATGATACGTTTGAACATTTTTTAAAAATAATTTATTAAATATTTATTTTAGAAAAAGGTCATATTTTTAGATACTATTTTATTATCTAATGAATAGTATACTTTTTATATCGATAGCGATAGTTCCTCATATGTTACAGTTGGAATTACTGTCATCTTAGACACATTGTACTTCCATATCTTTAGTAAGCCTTAGTCACTGTGTTCTTGTAACCTTGTGATATGATAGTACTAACTATCTATATTCGGTAATTGATTCCTTAATCATTCTTAATGTATTGATGTCATAGATATAGGTTTATTTAATGTAGCAATAATATAGCAAATCACCACATGGCAGAGTTGGATGGAATTGAATTTAATCTGGCGGAATACGACAGAAGAGGATGTACATGACCAGAATAACATTGAATAAAATTGAATAGCATTGAATACCTTTGAATTGAATGTTATTGAATGTAATTTGATGGTATTGAATGTACTTGCATGGAATTTGATGCCATTGGAGTTAATTGAGTGTAATTGGATGGCATTGAATGCTGCTGGATGGAATTCAGTGTAATTGCAAGGAATATAATGTAATTGGATGGAATTGAGTGTAATTAGATGGTATTGAAAGCAATTGGGTGGAATTGAGTGTAATTGGATGTTAATTGACGTAATTGGATGGTACTTGATGTAATTCGTTGTAATTGAGTGTAATTGCATAAAACTCAATGTAATTGAATGGAATTGAATGTAATCACATGGAATTGAATGGAAATGAATTTAATCCGATGAAATACGATGGAATAGGATTGCATACAATCGAATCAATCCGAATGAAATGGAATTGAATGAGATAGGAGGGATTACGACAGAGTATGATTGAATGCAATGGAATCAATCGGAATACAATCGAATGCAATGGAATCCATCGAAATGGAACAAAATAAGATGGAATTAAAAGGTACATGATGTAATTCAATGGATTAAATGAAAGCAAGGTGTCAATGAATTAATTAACTGTTAAAATTGATGTTGCAAGGTACGATAGGATTGCATGTGAGTGGATAAGAAAAAGAAGATATAGTTACATACAAATAGGAGAGAAGATGATCAATCAAGAAAAGCAAAGATGAAATAGAGAGAAGTATAATTAAATTTAAAAAAGAATACAATCAACTAAGAAGAGAAAGAACAAAACTATGAGGATCATGAAGACATAAGGTCAAGTACAATGTATTTATAGAGGAATACCATCAATTATAAAAAAAGAAAGTAAATATGCATGAATAACTATGTTTACGAGATGGAATGCCATTTGGAAAGGATGATCAATAAAAATACATGACAGATAGAAAACAAAGGAAACAGCAATAAAGGGACTAAATGTAAAAGAGAAGAGATGTATACTTGTATTCTAAAGACAGAGATGGAACTGAAAAAGGGAATTGTTTTATAGCGTCACAATGAAGACATAGGGGGGTATATAAACGCTGTCCGAAAAGAATGTTGTCTGTTTTTTTTCCTTTTTTCTTTATAACTTTTTTTGACGTTATGGAATACCCTGATTTAGAAAAGTTTATAAAGTACTTTCAGTACAATAATGCTCGTGAACCCCATCGTGGAACAAAACAATTCCAAAGAATAATACGTGAGAGTGGCTTCCGCCTGGCGCATATGAAAAATCATATCACATTAGCCACGAAATGTGATGGTTAGTATGTAACGGATCCAACTCCTTTGGACGTATTGACCATTAACTGGGTAGATTCGTGTGGCGATGATGAGTTAGAAGAGCACGATTCCGGCATATTGTTGGGTCGAGCAGTAGGAGCAGTTGATGACGAGGATGATGAATTTGAGGTAGCAGCTGCCGAATTAGCAGCAGCAATTGAAGCAACAACAACAGCAGCAACAACAACAGCAGCAGCTCCAGCAACAACAACCACAGCAGCAGCAACAACCACAACATCAACAACAACAGCAGCAGCTCCAGCAGCAACAACAACAGCAGCAGATCTTGAAGCAGCCGTTCAAGAAGCGGCTAATGAGGCAGCAGCTACAGCTGTTCTAGCAGCAGCAGCAGTAGAAGCAGCGGCAGCAGCAGCTCCTCCAAAAACCGAAAGGGAGGCTGCATTAGCAGAAGCAGCAGCAGAGTTAGCTGCGGCCTTTGAGGTTGTTCATGAAACAACAGCGGCAACATCATCATCATCAACAGCAGCAGCAGCAGCAGCAGCAGCATCATCAGCAGCAGCAGCAGTAGCAAGCGTAGCAGCTTTGCCGGCTCCTAGACCCTCTCCGGTCATTGAAAGATTGGAAACGTCTATGGCTAGAGCTACGAGCTCAAGAACAGCTGTAACAGCAGCAACAGCACCATCATCAACAACAGCAGAGCAAGAGGAGCTTGCTGATATAGAAGGTCGTCTCTTGAATCGACTTGAAAAAAATGATAATTCCAACTACCTCGCCAAATTACAAAAAGGGGACGATGAGCTAAACCCATGGTCCAGAAGTGTGGTTATGGGTACTACGTTCGATCGCTTGTTAGAATCAGGCGACTTGGCTGAGTTCACGTTTAGATCGTCGATAATCAAGGATACGTTTACAATGACAAACACCACATAACAAGTATTTAAAAGTATTGTCTGTTTATACCAGTACCTCACATATTCGGAATACGTTGTGTACCAAAACATACAGCCTGGAGACGCAGAGGATGTTATGATCCAAAATGGAGCAGACCAAGTTGGCTTCTATAAAAGGAAAGTACGGGGAGAACGTGTTCTCCATCTTTATGGATTGTTAGGAATCGCAGGTATTTTAGCCAGTGAAATTATCAATGTCACAAGCTACACCATGATTGAAGCTGGATTTCATTGCGAAATGGCTGTTTTGATGGCGCATCCGTTGGCGAGAAAATTAAGTTTTTTGAGGACAAATTCGATTGATTGGATGTTTGATCAAATTGAACAAAACTTACGAGCAATCAATGCCGATCATAGGGAAATAGCCGTGGCAAATGACATCTTTTGGGAGGACATGGAAGAAGACAAGAGGTCAAGGTAAAATAAATTGTTTTGCACGAGGTCAAATTCAAAAGAGACATAAAGACCAAGGAAAACGTAGAGAGTTCCGAGTAGAAAAAAAAAAGGATTTTAAGCAAGATTAAATGAGAAAAAAAATTTGCACCCCTGTTCAATATAACGTGAGAAAAATGGATGACTCGGCACGTATGTTTATATTATGCAACTTGCTGAGAAATGGTATAAATAGGGGTACTTTATTTTTCAAGTTTACATGTGTTTCTCTCTCAAATATTTTTTTCTTATAAATCATGACGCAAACCTCACTAGAATATGAAGGGGATGTTTGGCAAGCTCAAATTCAAGATAACTCGGATGAGGCTATGTACCGGATGAAACGCTTGTTGGAGACGGCTGGTTTTGTGTTTGCTACAAACAGTGGTCCTATGTATATGGGTGTATCAGTAGGAGGAAGATTGGTGTTTGATCATGTTCCGTTACAGGTGTACATGTTCGAAAAAGATCTACAAGATGAAATAGCACGTGAAGGACAATAAAGTCAAAGAATAACGTTGCGTAGTTATCATGCTTTTGAAATAAAACTTGCTTGCACTAATTTTTTGGTTTACAAGTGTGGGAGATGATAACTGCACAAAAATAAAGGGGATAACGTTGTAATTCATACGGAAGCCGGGTATAGGCTTAGCGCATCTTTTGGAAAAATGAAATCAAAGATTAATAAGTACAGTATGGAGACAAATGTAAAAAGAAGATAACGTCATGGGTTTTTAAGTGATAAACTTGAAATGAAAGTCAAGGCCGGGTCTAGGTCTACCGCATCTTTTGAAAAAGTAAAATCAATGATTAATAAGTGTATTATAGAGCAAAACGTGAAAAGAACATAACGGCATGGGTTAGCGACAAGCAATTTGATTTGAATGCATATACCATTTTTTCATTTAGATGTAAAAACACGAGAGCTATAGAATGTTACTAGTCTTGGGGTCTAGACACTGGTAGCTATTGTAAAAAGTACGTTTAAATACCAGCATCTATACACACCTCATTTTCCCGACTTGGTTCGATTTCTATAAGAGACAAGTTTAGGCTGCTGACATCGAACAAAATAAATTGAGATCTTAAATAGATGTGCTAATACAGACAAGCGCCGATTTTTTTAAATATTTTTCTTTGAAGGTCAATCTTTTTCCAAAACCTGCTTATTAAAAAAATATAAACAATAAAAATAAATATCATCCTGGAACTAGTGCAATTCGATTTTACCAAACTATTTGCAAGATTTTTTTTTATTTTGTTCCTGTTTTACCTTTTCTTTTTTCCTTTTCTCTGTTTCAATTTAATTTCTCAATGAATTCTCAAACTCACCAACAAATTTTTCGGATCTTCAAAATGTTAAGACAACAACAAACTGTTCTTTATGCATTTAGTGAAAACATTACTGCCAAGAACCAAGTAATTGTGGTTTGTTGCACGTTACTGTCAGTAATGTGCATTTGCGTAAATAACAGCAATTGCAGTACGACTTTTTTGCAGCCGATTTCTCGAGTGAATTTGGAATGTCTATTACTTCCATGCCTTTGTTAATACTGGAGAAATTATCAACAGAACGAGAAATGTCGGTGTAGATGCCACAAGAGTGTCTGAAAGATACACTTTTTGGGAGGTACAACATCCCAACCTTAACGACGACGACGAAAAACTAGTAGATTGCTTCCGTGCCCCATATCAAATGGAAAGGGACTCTTTAAATTGGCTTGTCAACAGGTTGTCTACTCATCCCGAATTTCATTTCAAGAAACCAAACCACGGTCCTATCTACATCCAGATAGATACCTGTCTTTTAAGACTGGGCAATTGTCCTTTTGGATACAGAAACATGTATGTCCTGTATGGTGTTTTGTATGGCAGCTATACCAATTTCACGAAGCGTACGGTGAAGACCATCAAAGATGTGCTTAGCTATATGATGGATTGGCCTACCAATTCAGCCATGGTGAGGGCTATATCTGCTGAATTCAACAAAGCTCCCGGTGTAAGTATTTTTGATGCAATTGGTGCTATTGATGGCAAAAACTCTACCATTCAAAAGCCAACTCCAGTCCCTTATAGAGCAGGGTTCCGTGACAGAAAAAACAACTACAACATTAAACTTACCGTTGTTTGTGACGATACATGTATGTTTACTTACATTCGCGTTGGAGACTCTTGTAATAATGACCAATATAAAGATAAAAGTTGGAAACTAATTTACTTTGAATACACTACGCAGAAGTCACGATGCCTCAGCCTATAATTCCAGTGATCTCAGCTGGAAGATCATGAACAATCCTGGGCATTACTTCCCTAAATGATTTTATTTTCTCGGTGATTCGGCCTATCCTACCATTGCCAATATGGTTACACCATTCCCTGAAAGTGAATGTCTCCGGGACCCGCGCAAGAGGTTATTTAACCATTCGCATTCAGCCATTAAAAGAACTTTTGGTAAGTTCGTTCATCAGTGGAGATTCGCCCAATTCAATATTAACGTGTATAATAATTTGGATATCAATGATATCATCGGGTCGTGTACTACTCTACACAATACATGAACGGCAAGAAGGGCCCTAGGTTTTGATGGTGTGTTTCTTGCACCTGCTGGTCTAGTAGTTGGAGAGCAGGGTGATTCATGTGTTATAGGTAACCGAGCCCGCTTGCGCATCTTTAATGCAGCTTTTCCTTAAATTTGTTAAGTACCAAATTTTTTTGAAAATAAAACAAATTTATTATTGAAGAAAAACCCCCATAATATTTTAGTCGATGTTATGAGGTTTATATTCATCGGACGAAGGATACGTGATATCAAGCAAGTCTGACGGAACGGGAGAAACCGTCGTGACATTGCCATCGATCGTCATGTCATTGGCAGAGGGGGTGGAGGCAGTGTTGTATGGGAGGATGCTGTTGGGAAGGGTGCTGCTGACGACGATGTTGCTGGTGTTGGTGTTGTTGACGTCGGTTTTGTTGTACGCGCTGGTTTTTCTGGGAGAAGGACTGTTGAACTGATAGTCAATGGTGTCAGGAACACCATTAACATCTGGGCGGAAGTGGTGGCTGGTGTTGTTGGTGTAATTGTAGCCACCGTTTTCAAACGGATTGTAGCTGGTGGCGTTGTTGTTGCTTTAGCCGAAATCCCCTTTCATTACCATCAGCATCTGGCGCTGGATATTCAGATTGTCCTGCATCTACGCAGCAACGCGAGACTGCACCTGGTCCCGTTTCTCCATGGTCTCCAACATGTGACCGAAAAACGTTGTCGAACGAGCAACATATTTAGTGAACTTTCTACGCTCCGGTTCTCCATGCTCCAGACGAGGTGCCTCAATCTCATTCATAGAGGTGACCAGATACTCCATCGTTTGGTCGACCGCTCTAATTTAACTGGCAGCCCCACGAGCTACACCCTTCTCAGCACCATCGTTTTTGATGGCTCTTACTCGTCTAGCACCGCAACGTCACCACGATTATCTATCGTCTCTCCAGAAAGAGAATACACAGTAGTTGGCGTCACAGTGGGCATCTCACTGTTGGGATTTCCATCGCATCATGGTTATCCCAGTTTTCAATCGGTGCCATACCAGTTGGATTCAACCTATCATTGCGATGTCTGAAGGCAGCACAGAGAGAAGCCACTTAGAATTCAATGGACTCGAAGGTCTGCTTCCATTGGTGCCGTTTTTGGTCTTGAATGAGTGCAACATGCACGTTACAACTCATTTAGTTTAGCTAGCGTACGATTGGACTCCAACCGCTTGTTGTAATCAGCATACAATTCAATAAGAGCAATGGTGCTAGCTGAATTCCCTTTTGAGTGCGTGTATCTCGTATCCGAAACTTAATAGTGGCAGCAGCCTCCGTGGCATCAGCAGTGGCAGTAGCAGGTGCAGCCGGGGAAACGACAGCAGCAGCAGGAACGACGACAGGAACCTCCTCTTTTTTTGAAACAGTAGTATCATGGGACGGTTGCTACCATAGGCTACACCATTTGGTGTCACTTCAATAAATTGGTGATTGATAGGGTTGTTGTTGTTGTTTTGATTGTTCATTTTAAAAAATATCAGGTAAGGAAACAGTAATAAAATTTTATTTTGTATTTTGGCATTTTAGTAGTCCATTTTAGGACCATTTATTTCTAGAGGCTTCACATTCGATGCCCACAGATTTTTCATTTTTAAGCAGCAGATTAATAATAAAAAAATATGGCAACATTATTTTTGACATGATTCAAATTAGGAAAAAAATATTGATAAAAAAACATTTTTTTTAAAAAAAAACCGGAGCTTGTCCATATTAGTACATCTCCTATTTAAGATCTTAATCTATTTTGTTTCATTTCGGCAGCCTAAATCTTACAAATCTGAGATTTCTGGTCCGTTATCCGTCAAGATCCAATAGGTTTGCGTACTCTGGCCCGTTATCCCTCAAAATCCGTTGATTTCAGGATACTCCGGTCCGTTATCCCTGAAAATCCGTTGACTTTAGGGTACTCCGGTCCGTTATCCCTACAGATCCGATACTTAAGGGTTCCCTGATTACATAAAACTAATGACCAAAATATATTATAAGAAATTAGAAACGGTTCCGAAATGGTTCAAGCATTCTAAACTTCTATGGGAATTACCTGAGCTAATTTTGTGGTATTTGACAAAATATTACATAGAAAAGTAATGAGATAAAAGTATATTTTTATTAGGGGTAAAAATAGACTAAAAGAACTCTGCTGCTATGAAATAATTGATCCTTTTTATATTGCACAACTCTCCTGAGTTTTAATGATGAGTCAACCTTTCTGGTTTTGGAATAGATCTATACTTTGTTTCCCGCCTTGGATTAAATGGATACTACTCGTTAGAATTGTTTCCAGATAACGTTGTCCCATATCAGTGGATCGGGAGCATGAGTATGCTAATAAATCTTTAGTATTACGAGACACTTATTTATCAGATCATGCAACGGTTACTGTAAAAGATGCATACTTGTTTGTCAAGTGTAATTGGCAATAGAACATAATAGTTGATCATTTATTCATTATCTTTGTAATGAATAAATTACGATCCCAAATATAAAATGTCTTATCGATATTTGTATATTTGGTTGTAGAAGCTAGGTATCCATTAATTCATACACTATTTCTTTATACTCTTTATCAGCAGTATAACTATATCAATATATAAGTAAATGAACCATTTATATTAATAGCTGTTCTATTCTCTCTATGGGTAGCTAATCCATTGAGAGAACTATTAATATTAAGTTTCTCTTTCTTATAATTCTTGATTGATCTGCGAAGTTTCTCTTCTCGATCGGTGATATCGTAACTCAGTGGTATAGCATTCTGTATCCAACTGTCATTCGTATATCGTATTTAGGCCAATCATGCAATCTTTTATATAGAAGTATGTACTCGAAGTAGGAGAAGTTGTATAGCAGTATACAAGCGTATGCTGATATGCAACATCAAAGGTTGTTTTAATTTCATAGTTTATTTATTTAGACGATTTGCTTAATTATTCTTTAAGTGGATCGTACCCAAATACGACAAATTTCACATATAAGGTAAGTCCCAAATCATATCAGAACATCTTGACGTGCGTTGAATTTCAAAGACGTATATACAGCGCCCTCTAAAGTATCGTAATCGTTTAAGTTTTTCGTATTTTGTGTAATGACATCACATACTGATTCATAGGGAGACTTTCCAAACATTTTTATTTTTCTGTTTGTTGTTATTATTAAGTTATGGATCCGGTTAACAGCGCTTCATAGGAGTATACACAACGAGTTGAAAACTTTAAATATTTCTTAAATTCTGCACCAAAAAGTAAATTCCCGTGTCAGAATTGTTTTCAAAAAAAATAAAACTTTGCGATTGGGCGAAAAAACAAAATACGTGATCGAAGGCCAGATGTTACGAATAAACAACTGTATGAAGGTTTTGTGCACCTTGAAAACTACTTTAGCGTCTTGTATGGGGGTCAGGATAGCGATTCGTGCAGCTAAGCATTTTTATTGGATAACAAAATGGAAGAGACTTTTACTTTTTTTGAAAAATGACATGTAAAAAAAAACAAAATGATTACTTTCTTTCATTTTCTAAAATTTTGAAATAACGATTAGTGTTATGCAGCCACCAGAAAGTACCGAACTTGCACTTGTTGATAAGAGAATACTTGACAGTGTCAATCTCAGTTTCCTGAGACATGTCAAGCAATTCCACCATAGTCAGTTTATACTTCAGCAAGTCCAAGATTTCTTCAGTTTTTTTGGTGACGAGATTACCACCTAAGTCAGCTTGATAGACAGAAATGAGGCTACTGTCATCGTGAATCCCGAAGGCTGGCCTCGGAACAAGTTCATACAACTCAACAATAGCCTGATCGCCGCGACGTTTTACGACCTTTCCAAGCAGACGACGCGCCCCAAGAGAATCCAAGTCAACATCGAGAATAGCCGTCATGTTCAAAGCAATCTTCTTTCGAGCAATATATTCAGTACTGCCGAATTCTCGATTAGCAGAATAGTACATGTCCTCACTGTACCTATCGAACAACGCTTTGACCAGACTACCACAAGTTTTCATACCGTTATCCCAAACAAGACCCATCGCAATACTTCTCAGCATTACCTCACGACCGTTCATAAGAGCCAAATGACGAGAAGGTTTTGTTTGTTGGTCTTGATCACAATTGCCCTAATGCGTTTGTTGAATTGCTCGTTCTTTTCAGTTGCGAGAAGCACAGGAGAAGCAAATGGAAGACAATCCTCTACCAAATGGACTATCAAATGAGTCTTTAAACGATTACATAATGGACCACCAGTTTTGGCGTATAGAATCGTAGCACCATTACATTGTTCACCAGAAAGACCATAGATCTCTTCAAAAGTAGTCTGACCGGGCACTGATGCAGTTGTCCTTGCTGTTGCTGGCTCTCCACGAGTACGTCGGTTACTGGGAAGAACGGTACGATCAAGGTTATCCAGAGCAATAACAGTATCATCAACGCATTGACGCAATAAATCGAGATAGGCAGAAACGTTGGTATGTATCTCACAGTTATAACACAATGAGTAAAGCTCACCAAGCTTGTCCAAAGTACTAATAACGTTATCCATTCGGTGGAATTGATCATTACGAAGGTTGAGGAAATCAATGTGATCACGAGCAACTCTAAGAACAATTGGGAGCATCTGAATCATAAGTTTGAAGTCTCTTCCAAGAAAGCTTTTATATCCTTTGAGATGCGTCGACAAATTGGTAAAAGCCTTAGACCGATACTATGCACACAAATAACTAATGCGATCAACCTGCTTCTTGTTGAAAAAGCAATCAGCCGCTTTGTTGAACGTGTATTTGATTAAACCGAGAAATAGGCCATGCAGAATTTCTACCGGTGTGTCCTTGCTAGGATCCCAAGAAGACAACGTCAAAAGCCTTTTGCCAGACGTTTCCTTGAAGCCGAGGTCCATCAAGTTTTCGACCAAGATATAATCACCCTGTCTGTTACGAACACGTATCGAGGAATCCGTACTATCCGAGTCATCGTTTGGAACTGACATGTGTTCTTCGGCCGTGGTAATTCTATTAGGATCAAAAGCTTCAGCATGTCGACACCAGAAGCATTTTCTACACGGATAAGTAGCTGTTGAAGCTTTCAAACAAGAAACCTCGGCAAGACAAGGATTGTCAGCCTTGATAAACAAAAGAGGAGCAACAACAAAGACTTCTTCCTTGAAAATAGCATCAAACATCGGCAGACCAGTTTCCAGTTTCTTCAAATCGGGGACAAGGGAACGCAACTGTTCCATAGCAGTATGACGATTTGATCCATATATAAAAAATTGATTCAAATAATGATTGGCAACCCTAAGATGAACAGCGGCGGGATTTCATCGATCACGAATAGAAACAATTCCGTTTTGATGTGGAATTACCACTGGTATCATCAGAGAAAAGGTTGTACGGAATTACTCTAACGACTTGGTAGTTTGGCGAATTGGGATTTATGCATTTTATACGTGATCTAATGGGCAGCGGACGCTTGTACTTATTATCAGTATCAATCATGTCCTGGTAAGCGCAAATCAATCGAGTATTAGCAACAACATTCTCTAGAACAATGATAATCGTCACCATTTATATGTTGTAAGCTGGTAAATGCATCGAAGGATTCATGTTCGGCACGAAACACATTATTGATGTCAAGGTCAGTTATGGGATAGTTAAGAAGGATGTCGTATAAAAAGCACATTTCAAGATTATTATCGGATTTAATTGGATACAAATCAACGTTCACAACTTTTGATATTTGGAATATCTTGGCCACTTTAAAATAATGGCGATCTTGAAGAGGAATATTGCTCTCAGACAGCAAAGAGACTTTATCCGATACCCAGAGTTGAAGATTTCGACCAGTAATTATCATGGGATGCTCAAACAATCTATCACAACTCCACTTTTCACCTTGACTGAGCTTGATTCGTTGGTTGGGTGTTCGATCAGGAAGATCTGACAGGAAACCAGACATACAGGGATTACCTACGAGAAGTCGCAAGTGTTCAGATACATCATTGAGAAACAAGTCAGGCTTTGATGCGACAACAACAGGATCAGCGTGTGTAGAAGCAGTTGTATTTGTTGTTGCAGCAGGATCAGTGGCAGGAGCAGAGGTAGTGGCAGAAGGAGAGGTAGAGGCAGGAGCAGGAGCAGAGGCGTCAGCTGCGGTAGCAGTACCAGATGTGCTAGTTGATGTGGCAGGTTCAGTAGGTTCGACAAGAAGTCCGCCGTTATCATCTTTCGCACAACGGGGAGCATGAGGAAAAAAAGGTATACAACTTTTCTTGGATTTGTGAAATCTGGAAACGCTGTGGGGAGTGGGATAACCACAGAAATCATAAATAACATCAGAAGGATCCAAAGCTAGTTGAGCTCTGTACTTTTTGATTGCAATTTCAGCCATGTATTTACCAAAATCAAGAACTGATTTGATTTGGACTTCTGAATACTTAAAGCTACCAGACTTGAACAAAAGAAGGGCATGCATTATTTATTCATTTTTGAAAGAATATGCTGGATTGTCGTTGACATCACCACTCAAATCAAGATATTCATCATTACCATCATCTCCACCACCATCAATATCAATATCAGAGCCGTTGTTGACCTCGTTAACAGGAACGGGAGGTTTATTAGATTCGCTATTATCATCAGATTCCCCTCCGTTGCTAAAATGATTGTTGAAATGGTCAAAGGCATTACGACCATCGAATTCTTCTTCACCATCATCACGCCCATCATCAGCACCGTCACCATCATCACGCCCATCATAAGCACCGTCACCATCATAATCATCTTATTGATTTTCATCAAATTTATTTGCTGGTTCAGACAACGGTTCAGACAACGGTTCGGCAGTGCGTTCAGGTTGGATTGGTCTAATGTATATTGATGTAAGTAATTTGAACATATTTAACAGCCTTAAATAACTTTACCTTTCAATGGACTTCATATCAGAAATACGAGATTCGCTTAGCGGGATAGTAGGTTGTTCGTCAAAAGTATTCCTAAAACTAATAATGATAACTACAAACTGACTATTTTTAAATTGATGAAGACGCTCACTTACTGTTGTTGGATGTCATTGGTAGGTAGTGGTCCTTGATTGGACTGAATCGCCTCCAGGATTTCTAAGTGGTGTCCTGATCTTTGATGCAATTTAAAAGAGTGTCGATTAATTGTACTGTATTTACATAACACACACGTTTGCTCCTGAGGCGGTAAAGCAGGTTTTGCACGGAAATTATTTGTTCCAGGTGTTTTTTTCATAGTGTTTTAAAATTAATGTAAGTTGTTTATAATAAAATAAAGAATTTTGATAAAGTGCACTCTAGGGATTGTGTTTGGTTTATATATCGTTCAGATCAAAAAATGTGTTTAATGCTTAACTTATGCGGACATAAGCTGTCAATTTGATTGGTGCAATAATTTACAAACGTCATTGCGGAACGATATTTTGTCACGCGACCGAACTTTTTTAGGTCGCTTTTCTTTCTCTTACGTATTTGTTTTTAACCGTGGCGTGTCTTCACGAACGCGTGATTATTGCTTGTAATATTATGATGCTTATGAACAATGGTTTGTCATAGAACATCTGTCTTAACAATACTATCATAAGGCATTCTACTAATTCTTCTCTCACAATCAATTTAATCAAACTTAAACGCGAAAAAAGTAGCTATTTCAGGACTTATGCAATAATATAATCTTCTATCCCCTTTTACTTTCAGGATGTGTATCTATAAAGGTATACTTTATTCTGTACTGTACTTCCCTGTAATAATATATCATTAACAAACGCCTTTTTATTTTTTTAGAGTCTCTTTTCTTTTTGAAATACCGTAATTAATATCTTGGTGATTATTTTACATCCTAAACTAATACATAACGCGTTTCATTTGTCATAAGATATATCGCGTAAAGCTTCATACAAGGTACTATAATTTTAATATTAATCATTATCCGTTTTACTAACCACATTATTCACTTTATAAATTAGCTCGTGATACTGCTTAAGCACGGATAAAATGTAAGTACAACATCTACCACAGACACTTGAATATCACATTAATACCTTTTTCCGTAGCTTCAGCTCAAACAGAATCAGTTTTGCGTGGGTTTTCTAGCTTGAATTCACTGTCTGCTATACGTGTCACACGTGGCCTGTCTGGGCTACGTGGTCTGCCCTGTCTGTCAAGGCTGAATAGCCTGCCTGGTCGGCCTGCGTAGCCCCGAGGGGCAAACAGGCGCTTTTTGCCGGTTTCTGATTTTGTGGGCCAATTTTTTATATAAATAAATTTCGCTTTTTAAGGCAATTTTAAAAAAAAAACTATTTTCGTATTTTGTATTTGTATTTTATTGTTTTGTTTGTACAGCAAGGAAACGTAAACAAAACCCCAAAACCAAAAAGGAAACACTTTTCATATCTATTTTTACTTTTTTTTTTTGGGAAAAAAATGGTCTTAAAATTTTAAAGCTTACACTATTTTCATAAATTATTCGCACAGTATAAGAAAAAAATTGCTCATTTTTTTTTCAATTTCCGCACACATTTTTTTTTATTTTTTGCTCACTTTCGAATTTAATTTTTGCTCACTTTCCGAAAAATATTTTGCTCAGTTTCAGATATTTTTTTTTGCTCAATGTGTGCGAAATATTTTAGAGGGGGTCTTTATTTAAATAGGTTTCGAATTTTGTTTCTGAATAACAGCAGAATCCCTTTAAATCGCTTTATAAAACATTCTGACATGCTTCGGCAATTCTATTGTTCAGTGTTTCGGCCTCTAAAAGCTTCTACCGTTTTAATTTACTCTTAACAACGGACCAAAATTGTTCGATAGGGTTGAGCTCAGGAGAATATGGTGGAAGATAAACACAGCCATACCCACGACTTTCGATAAACTTCCTAATATTATCTGACGTATTGATAGGCGCATTATCCATGATAAGATAATGCCCTTTGAATTCCTCATGACGATCCATCACATCAATTGTACTGGCGATAAAATTAAAATAATGTCCGGTAACAGTCCCAGTGGTTTTCTGCATCTTACTACCACCAGCTGTTTTTTTTTTCTTTGAAACCGTTGAGTATGGCACTCTTATCTTGAAATTGACAACGCCATATGGCGATATAGCACCCAAAATTGTTGTTGTCTTGGCTCTTGTTAGTGGTTGAATAACCTCGGCCCGAACTCCCTTTTTTGACCAAGCCATTGTTCTTTTCAAATTAATATGGAATGCAGACTCATCAATGAAAACGCAATTACTGCTGTAATCCATGTCTGTTTGGCTCCATCTAGTTACCCAATCAAACCTCTTTTCAATGTTAATAGACGAGTTTCTTTCTTTCGAATGGAAGTGTGCTTTCTTAAAAGACAAGGCACATTTATCTGTCATGAAATTATAAACGGTAGTTTTTGTTACTTTCAGGTCGCTGAACTGACTAGTAAGACTTTTCATAGCCTGATCCAACGTTGCCGAAGGGTGGTCGATAAATGTTTCTTCCAAATGCTTTTTGTGCTCTTCATTCAACAAAGCTGGTCTCCCAGCCTTTTTCTCGGGCTTAACTGGTTCTAAATCATCCAAAGCCTTTGCTGTTTCATAGATCTGATCCTGATCTTTTTTCAACTAGTCATAAGCAGTTCGTCGGGCAACAGCGAGTTGCTTTGCTGCTTTTCCTGCAGTTAATCCTTCTTCATAAACGAGATGAAAAAAATGACCTTTAATATCGTCTGCATGCTTTTTATAATAAGCTGCTGGTCCAGTTGAAGCCGAAGAACGGTTTTTTGG